AATTTAAGTGTTTCTGATCATTTGAGATGAATTTTAGAAAACTCCATGTAAGTACACTCTACCATAGTACACTTTTCTTAAGAGATGGTAATGGTGCAAACAGATCTTGACTTGCTTTGTAGGTGGGGCCTACAAAGGTCTGAGACTGTGGGATCTCTGAAAGACTCTGACCTGCCAGCTCTAGCTCACAGCCCACTGTAGGCACCCAAGGAAATGGGCAGTGTAAGTTAATTTTCTATCATCTTAAACGTTGTCTCCAACAAAGTAAGTCAACTTATGGAAGGAGATGTTATGTTTCTCTTATTTACCAGCATGTGTTCAATGTCTAAGAACAAAATGCATCTAAATGCAAAAATGTTAAGAGTAAAATGAAAACAAAAAAGTCAAACAGTAGCCCTCAAACCTCCCACATGGCTTCTCTAGACAAACCCTCCATGGCTAATCCTGCTCTATGACAAAAATTTCAGGCTTTCTCTGAAATAGTATTCTGCATAAATACAATTATTTCACAACAAAATGGACTCTCATACTATATTATTTTAGTTTTTTTACATGTCCACATGATTAAATAAATTATCACTGAAATGTTTCTTATATAGAATAAAATCAAAGAATTTGATTTTGACTTGATTTGATTTTGTTGAATTGCCTTATGGATTAGTAGAGTAAAGCCAGGACAATGTTATGTTCTTTATAAGAATTTTCCAACTAACAATATATCAGAAGATATAAATATTCCCCTCAATTGTTTAAAACATCTGTATCAGACAGTCAGAAATATGCATAAGAGTGTTTAAACTCTAATAATCTCCTCCCCCTCATTCTAGGTTCAGTATACATCATGTTTCTTTGATTGGTGAAACTTTTCTTAAGAAATGACAGTAATTGAAATTTTGCTATGTCTCTTTAGACTATTCGATTAGGTTACAATTGATTGTATCATCCAATTATAAAAATAACAGTGATTAGTTTGAGATGTTAGTACATCTTTATTTCAACCATTACAGCCTCATCACCTTGACGAAGTTCTATTTTCAGCTACTATTTGTTAGCTAATATTTGGGATAGGTCATTTTTACATCAGGCTGATATCGTCCACGACTTCTTCAGTTTTAAATTTCATTTGGTAAGATTAATCTTATGATTCCAAGGTGTACTCTGTGTGTGTGTGTGTGTGTGTGTGTGTGTGTGTACATGAGCACACACATTATGCACTGTGAGGACTGTGAAGATGCTAAAGGTCTCTCTACTTGGGGAAATGCTGAACAAATAAAATATTAAGAGACATGTTGTCAATGCTTTGATTTTTCAGGAAAAATCAAACTTGCCTAGAACATCTCAGTGTATCTTTTTTATCATGGAAATAGTAAAACACGCTTTTCTCATATGTTGGGGCATAATGTCCTGTGTGAGTGTCCAGGTCTCTTATTTATTAAAGTAAGCATATCATATACTTATGAAGCATCTTCTTTGTTTGTGGCACTGTGGTATTAGTGATTCAGTGCTGGACAAATAGATAGAATGTTCACCCTTATAGAGTTTGCAGTCTAGTGTGGAAGCCAGCCTATAAACAAGATACACAGGTGTGTAGTGTCATCAAAGTGTGTGATAATAGATCTAAAGCACCCTACCAGAGAGGGAGAGAACTTCCTAAGAATTCCATCCAGGCAAAGATGAGTGAGGACAGGAGAATATGTTGAACATTGGACCCTCAAGGTGGATGGCCATTAACACTAACAACATATTTTTATGACACTGGGGAAACTCTGTAGTGAAATCTTATTGTTCTGACAGGCTAAGGATGTGGACTGGGATGCTCAAGCATCAGATTGGTGCTGTGTATCTGACCTACCGTAAGTCCAGGTGCCAGTCACTTTTTGCTTCCTTCACTCCTCTCCACGCCATTAGATGTTTTCTTGTCCTTCACTTGGTTACTCTCCAGCTATGTCCATTAAGCAATTATTCTATGAAGTAAAATTTTCCCAGAATGCAAGTAAATAAGAAGCATCAGGTGACTGGTGCCTAGACAGGCAAGTCACATTCTTAGCATGCTATAACAATAAAATCTTACTCCTAGAATTTACCTGATATCATAACAAATGTTTTGTTAGTCAGTGACCTAGATGCTGCTCTGTCATGAAAACTAGGAAACCAAGAAATTTGCACAGTAACTACTAGCTCCAAGAAAGGTTCTTTCCATGACCCTCCATAGACAAACGGATTGATAAAATGTGGCATATATGCTCAATGGAATTTTGCTCATCTATTAGGAAGAGTGATGTTACATCATTTGCCAAGAAATGGATGGACTTGCAAAAAAATCACATGATGTGAAGTAAGTTGGGACCAATGAGCCAAATATGAAATGTTTTCCTTCATATGTGTTCTCTCCTATGTGGAAGCTATAACTTAATTTATAATGACTAGTAAATACTTCGGGGCTGGATGCAAGTATACACCATGTATTAACTAAGATACTGAATTTGCAAGCAAGAATTCAAATGGTGTAATTTCTTAGAAAGGCTAATTCACAGATCAACAACAAACAAGTACTTGAAAAGTGGGAAGTGAGGTCAAGGGGAGGGAAGAATATAGTCAAACCCTTAGTCTTGGACTTTGACTCTGAGAAATGTCTCCAGTAGGCAGCATGGGTGCTTGCAGTAGGACACTCTCAGTGTGTGAAGAAGCTGTGGGGGTTGAGGGGTTATAGGCATTGTGACCCGTCAGACATCACTAGCCCTTTGATGCGCAGTTTGGTCCTGTGACCTTTGCTGTGTATCATTCCTCAACCATGATCATATTCTGTCTTATAAGTGCTTTTGTGCTACCACTTAATCAAGAAGTTCAATTCCAAGAAAGCAAGAATGGTAGGGATCAAAAAAAATCGAATAGAGCAGGGAAGGGAGAAAACCTAAGATATTCTCCAGGAATCTACACAAGCTGAGTGTCTTGGGATCTTCTACCAAGAGATGGAGTCTCATCATCAAAATTTTATATGACAGAAACACCAGTCTCCTGCACATCTGCAGTGCAAAGGGATTGTTCACAGAGAGAAAGAATCCTGCAGAGCCTGCATCTCAGCAAGTAATAGCCAGAGACTAGAGGAGAAATACATACTCCCTGCTCAAGGGGAGAGTTTCTGTCTGTGAGGTCAGTCTGAATCTAACCTACAGCTAGGATTTGGAGACCAGAAAGCACAGGAGAATCTAAAATCACATATTAGTGTGTTTGGCCACCAGCTGAAGTAGCTTCACTAAAGGGACACAAAAGGGTTTTCTTTGTTGTTTTTAATGTACCATGTGATTTTTTTTATTTCTTTTGTATGTTCTTCCTCCTATGGTATATTCCCTGTTATCACTGTATTTGATTTTGGTGCCCTGCATCTTGTATATACATTTATCTAATTTGGGGAGGGAAAGGGGAATTACAAAATGCTGAAACAAGAACATGAGATAACCCACTGCAACAATGATACTTACAAGACACTATGTTAGAAATGATCTTTACAACTTGGGAGGGGAGGGATAGTAGGAAAAAAACAAAGGAGAGGGTAACAATGTTCAACTAAAAAATGTACTCATTATCTTACTCATGTGACTGTAACACCAGAGGTGTTAAAAAAAAAAAAGAAAGAAAACCAGTCCTCACATAGACCTACTTATCATGCCAGGAAAAGTATCCTGAAAAGTGTGAGGCATTTTCGTATTAGCTTACAAATTGAAACCAATTTTGTGTTGGGAAAGGAAAGTGGACAGAAGTATCTTTCCAAATACCTGACCATCATGAAAGCAGGCCCCTTAAGACCTAGAGATGTACAGGAAAAATAAAACACCAGAAAGGAAAACAAACTGAAGGGAACAATGTGAATGAACCAAACATCAGAAAGCCTTCTTATTGTCAGTGAGGTAAAAGGAAGGGGCTCTCTGCTTCACTCAATATTCCTCAGAAATAGTCCAAAAATAACCTTTCACTGTTGTAATTTGGTTTTACTCATCATCCACTGCTGTGAAGCCCTCATTACAAATAAACACACACATACATATGAGAATGTATACATACACACACATTTAGAAATTGTATTATTCGAACATTTATGAAATTTAAACTAAAAAAGCAGAAGGAACTGAGCACTGGTGGCTCACATCTGTAATTCTAGCTACTCAGGAGGCTGAGATCTGAGGATTTCAGCCAACCCCAGGCAGGAAAGTCAGAGACTTATATTTGCAATGAATCACCAAAAAGCCAGAAGTAGAGCTGTAACTCAAGTGGTAGAGTGCCAACCTTGAGCAAAAGAGCTCAAGGACAGTGTTCAGTCACTGAGTTCCAGCCCCAGGATCAGCACACACACACACACACACACACACACACACACACACACACACACACACACTGTAGAAGGGTTATATCTCAGGAAAATAGGTCACCCAAATCTTCGTAGGAGCTATCCTAAAAGACAAGCAACCATGTAAAGGAGAAACATGTCTATTCATTGGAAGCATATGAGTATCTGATATAGTCCAGAATACACAATGTTAAAAGGAGGACAGAGACAATGTACTTGACTTCAATTTTTAAAATCATCAATTTATGTTTATTTTTAAAGATAGATGCAGTTGTATACATATTATGAATAAAAATGTATGAAAAGTTGGATGACACTTTGTCTACAATCAAGTAGTACTCCGAAGGAAATTCTCTTACTTTAAATATTAATAGTCCTTAAGAAACATTCCCATTTAAACAGTGCATCTTCTGAAGAAATTTAGTTCATGCTATATACATGTGCAACAGTGTTACAGTTGTTAAATATATTAAATATATTAATATTTAAATACAGTTGTTAAATATATTAAATACAGTTGTTAAATATATTAAAAGGTCATAGAAAATACCAAGTCTACCAGGAACAATAACAAAGGTGGTATAAATTTCTAAACAACAAATGCATTTTGGTTGCAAGAAGAAAGGCTATGTAAATTATCATAGAAACTTAAAACAGTCTATTTAATCATGTAGCTTGATTTTTCAAAATCCAGTGCTTGGTTATAGTCAGTTACAGCTTTCTCAATCAGACCTATTTTACCACGAACTTCTGCTCTGAGATTATACATTAGAGCATCATCAGGCTTCAAGTATAAGGCTGAAAAACAAACACAAACTTCATGATATATATGTTTATGTAAACACTAAAAAATAATTTCAGTTTTTAAAGATAAAATTTTTGCAAGAATTTTAATATTACTTTTTGAAGGTATTTTTCTTTAAATGTAATAATAGAGACACACATATATATATTTAATTTAGGGAACCACAGTACAGTATTATCCTTTGAAAGGTTGGCATTGCTTGTGTGGGTTCCTAATAATTCTGTGTATCTAAAGTTTATTAAAGCTTTTTAATTAGGATATATTGATCATACAAAGAGATTTCATTATGATACTTTCATACACGCCTATATGCACTTTGATTGAATTCATATCTTCCATTATTCCTTCTTCTTCCCCATTCCCCTTCTAAAAATAAATTTAATGGGCTTCATTATTCTGTTTTCATATATAAAGATAAAATGCTTCGATTATATTCAGCCTCTCCTTTTTCCATACCCCTTTCCATTGGTTTCCTCCTCACATAATCTCCCCATTTTGCAATCAACAATCTTTTCTTTCAAGTTAAGAAATTATATCAAGGAATGTATATTATATGAAAGGCATGATTAGATATCTAGACACATTGATTCTTGTGCAAATTTATGGAGACAATTTTTTCTTTTGTAATCTATAAGAAAGGAGTATGTCAACTACTATGATCTTACCAAAATAATTACTAAACAATACCTTGACAAAGGTCTTTTTCAGCTAATTGATATTGCTTTAAACAGCAGTACAAATGTGCTCTGTTAAAATACACTGCAGCCCAAGAAGGACAACGTTCAATTAGACTTGAAAAATCTTCTTTTGCGTCTTCATATTTTTCTAATACTGTATTCACAATAGCTCGATTCATGAGAGCATATTCATTTTCTGGGTTAAACTTTAAAGCCTTCGAGAAGTAGTCAATGGCCTATAAAATGTTGAAAAAAATAAAATAATTTGAATCTACTGTAACTGACAGCCATTGGAAATTTGAAGCTCTTTCATAAGATTGACCAATAATAGATCAATGGAAGCCTTCATCTCCAATACAGAAGTCCTATAGAAAAAAAATTTAAAAAAGAAAAGAAAAAAAGACAACAGTTGGCTCTGTTTTTGTTTTTGCCATGTGTTTTGGTCAGCTTTCTGTCATTGTACTGAAATGCCTGAAGTGACTGACTTAAAGGAAGGGAAAGATCCATTTGGCCTGGCTGTTTCAAAGACTGCAGGATGTGGTCACTTGGCCCTGTTGCGGTAGACCTGTGGCGCACAGTACCTCATGGCAAGAGAGTGACAGAGAAGGATGCTCATCTCATGGCAATCAGGAGAGAGAGAGAGAGAGTGTGTGTGTGTGTTTAGGGAATGTCCCATGTGCCCCATGACCTCACTTCCTACTACTAGGTCCCACTTCCTAAAAATTCCTCCATGGCTCAACAGTACCAGTGGCTTATGACAAAGCCTTTAGCATACATGCCTTTGGAGGCATTAAGATCTAAACCTGAACATTATGTGCCAGCAATGCTAGTCAATGTCGATCATAAAAAATATTTCTCCATAGTATAGTGAAATATTCCCACAGACTGCCAGCTAAATTTCATACCCCTGAACAGAACCACAAGTAAGAGGTTAAAAAGTCAATTAGGAAAGACTGAACAGAAGATAAAATGAAAATTAGATAGGCAACACATTGTATATGAAAACAGAACAAGAGGCGAACAGATAACTGAATCGTCAAGAGAAAATTGTAAGCAATGTCCAAAAGTATGAAAACTCAGTGATACTATGAAAATTTATAAGTAAGAGGAAAAAATCAACTTGTTGAGATCAAAGACTCTAGCGTAGGTTGGGAGGGATGAGTGAGGTGTTAAAATGTTAAGACACACTGTGTTCATAAATTGCTCTGTTGAATGACAATCCTTTGTACAACTACTTAAAGATAATTATATATTACATATTAATATACCACAGTATATTTATATATTCACATTTTGTGATCAACTTCAGGTTTCAACATAAAAATTAAGATGGGTGGAGTTTGGTTAAAAGAGAAAGCAGAATTTTCTGAGAGCCTCAGAGATTACATTTAGCAGGCTGTAATTTACCTTACAGGCACAAGTTCCTCAATCTTTAACTTCCAAATGAAAAAGGCTATCTGGAAAGAATGTACCAGAGCTTTGGTTAATTTCTTGACTTTTAATTGGCATTGCTTAATGGAAATGATCTTCCAACAGCAACCTAGAAATCTAGCAAGTTGTTTTATTTTATTTTTAATTAAATGTTGATATGTAATAAATGGGAATTTTTTAACTTACCCCTTCATCACAATGTGACTGAGATGCTGATTAGACATTCTCCTACTCATTAGGACTCTATCTCTAATGCTGATGGATGAACATTTGGTTCCTACTTGAAACTAAAGGAAAACCTTTTTACAATACAACTCGATTTCTCCAGTCATTTACCAGCTGATTTCTTCCCAACCAATCACAAACTGGCCTCCTATCTACCTCCTCCCATTCCATGAGCTCTGCTTTGGCTATGGTTACAGATGAACATTTTCCAGTTATTTCTGCCAATGTACCTCTGTGGAATGGACCTCTTCATCTCTCTTTCTTACTTAAAATTTTCTATACTGTCTCCCTGGTCTTTCTCCAACCTTTCTGTTTGTTTCTGTTTGTTTTCTCTCCAATTATTTCCCTTTGGATTTCCTAAGGATCTGTCCGCAATTCCTCAAGAGTCATGGTGGCTGTGGTTCAGACCAAGAAGCACATGCATGAGGTTCAAATGTTGCCTCTACTTTGGATGAGTTTCTACAGCTCTAATTACATCAATTTCCTCATTCTGTAAAACAAAGGTAATAAACAAAAACCTACTTCCTGCACTGATGTTAAGAATGAGGCAGCTAGTATATAAAGTACTGAGAACAACATGTAGAATGTAGTAGACTCAATCAACGACTACAGGTTTGCTACTTTTCTTCTAATGCCTATAAATAGAGTCTTCAGGTACTTATGAACTTTGCTTCCTCTGATGCAATTCTATCAAGATTGTATAAGTCTTCTCATCCCTGGTGGTAGTTACTCTATGCAACATTTATGTGCAATTCAAAGATCCATTAAAATGGGAGCAGTATTGACATCTACCTGTGAAGAGCTTAAAGAGAATTAACTCCTAAAAAGAAGTCTACACTGAGGCATCGGGAATGAAGCAAGAGAATGACTCCAAGCATTACATTCTTCATGAAGTAGCAGACTTCACCTTAATCACTAACAAATAATTGATAACAACTAGACAATTCTATATCACAAAAACATGACTTTAGCCAGGTAAGAACGAATGAATACCTTAGTTAGAGAAAAGAATTCAGTGAAATACCTGTAATGCACCTAACTTTGAATAATGTAACTTTGTACTACCAGAATATATTGCTTTGAAAATTGAAAATTTATAAACATAATGAAGTTACTTGAAGAATAAGGAGTATGAAGCAATTCCAAGGCAATGCAATTAGTAATAAAAGGCCTTAAATTTTTAACAATTGGTCTGATGCCCTCATATCTATAATAAGTTGATTTAAAAGTATATCCAATTATTTAAGTCATCAGTAGTTCCAAATTTATGCAAACAACTACTCCAAATGTGCTTTTAAATCATTAGGTCACTAAAGACAAAGAAAGTCAGATAATATACATTTTTTTTATGGTCCTGGGGCTTGAACTCAGGGCTTGGGCACTGTTCCTGAGCTTCTTTGTGCTCAAGGCTAGCGCTCTACCACTTGAGCTACAGCACTTTTTCTGAGTCGTTTATTGGAAATAAGAGCTTCATGGGGTTGTCTTTGAACCATGATCCTCAGGTCTCAGCCTCCTGTGTAGCTAGGATTACAGTTGTGACCCATAGCACCAGGCTCATACACATTTTAACTCTCCAGAGATGAGTTGGTTTGTTTAGGGACCACTCCCCTAGAGCTTACATATTCCTTTCTGTATTATCAGCTGTCACTGCAGAAAGGAGAGGCAGGCAAGCACAGTAGCATAGTTGAATACGGCATAAATAAATGAAAGTCTGCTTATCTCTAGAGGAAGTGTGCATGATATACCATAGTGTCCAATGTGTGCACACAGAGAATGGAATACATTGGAAATGAAATATTGGCCCAATTATTGTGTCTAAAGTATGGAGCAACTATGGAGTTGAACCTTATTTTTTATGTCAGACTGCACTATAGATCTAAACAAATAATTTTGCACAGAATATTCTCACAGAGTTATTAAATAAATTTTAAAGGTATGTGGTTCCCTGAGTCTTCCAGATGGAAACAAAAAATGCCCTTGGGTATTTTATTTGTCTTCATCTTATTAACCAACTTTACAATGGGAAGAAATATTTCTAGGAAGGATCTAAGATTAATGAAGTTTAGACTTTAGGTTGTCAGCCTGGGGAAAAAAATTAGCTGTCTACTGACATGGCAGTGACATCCTCATTCAAGCTTTATAAAATTATGCCTTTGATACCCTGTCCCAACCTCCAGCTTCCCTATTAAGATCAGCAGAGCTTATCACAGGGGTCAGCAGGCTGTTAAGGGTCATGGCTGCATCATCCAGCTGGGAAGATGGAAGATAGAAAAATGGTAATAGAAAGTGAAGAGCACTGAGATGGAGAAAGGAAAGGATGGAGGTGTGGTTCGAATGATAGAGCACTCATTTCAATAGATCACAAGGTGCTGAGTTCAAGCTTCGATTCTACACAACCATCAAGTCATTCTCTATGAACTTCCTTTGACTTTTAAGAGGCAATTTGATCAAGATTGTGTAAGTCTTTTCATCCCAGATGATACTGACGCTATGCTACATTTATGCACAATTCAAGGATCCACTAAGATGGATGCTGAGAGGTCTAGTAAGAGGAGGACAGAGACACACTGAAGTAGTTGGAGAAGCAGTGGAGGTAGAGGTTTGAACTGGAAGGTCTGCATAGACCTGGAAGGTGAGAGAAACAGAGAGGCAACAAGTGGTTTTAGAAAGTCTTCTGTGAAAATCAGTAGTAAAGAACAGGCTGTGGGAGCCAACCCTCTCTTTACTTTTTTTTAAATGCTGAAATCTCATTCAGAATCCTGAGGTGAGAGATCAGCCAGCTCAAAGCCAGCCTAGGATACAAGAAGAGACATTGTCTAGAAAACAGAAGAAAAAAGGAAGAGAAGGGTTATGGTTTTACACCCTCATGTAAGTGACAAGGAAGAGATACAAGATATATTTTTGCTATGGTTGAAAAAGTACACAAAATAAGAAGGAGAAATGTGAGAGTTTTTATACAATGATAGTCACTAGAGCAAAACTATAAACTTCCCTTTGCTTCAGAAAAAAAACTTTCTAAAAAAGTCAAAGCCGACAGACTATGTGTTTAATACAAATCAAGCTATACATTTTAAAACGGTTACAATGGTAAATTTTATTTTATATGGATTTTACTCAAATTTAAGAAAAAAGACTTATGGATCTGCCAGGCAAAAGTGGCTCATGTAATCCTAGCTTTCTGAAGAGGGTAATCTGTAGGATCAAGGTTCAAAAAATAAACTGGGCAGAAAAGTCTCTGAGTCTCAGTCTCTCAAAAAGCTGGACTAGGAGTGTAACTCAAGTGGTAGAGCACTAACTCATCAAAAGAGCTTGAGCAGAAGGGGTGGAAAAGGATCTACCAATCAAATTCCCCCAATAAGAAAGCAGGTGTAGCTATCCTGATATCTGACAAAATAAAATTTTCATTAAAATCAGTACAGAAAGACAAGGACGGACACTACATATTAATAAAGGGAACAATCCAAGAGGAGGATATAACCATCATCAACTTATATGCCCCAAATATCGGTGCACCCAGATATGTTAAACAAATGCTCTCAAACTTACAGAATAAAATAGATCCCAATATGATAATACTAGG